CCTCTGGACCCCCCACACCTGTCAGGAGTGCCTCCAGCCAGCCCTTCCCCCATCATCTTTTTTTTTTTTTTTTTTTTTTTTTTTTTTGGAACCGGGGATTGAACTCAGGCCCTTGCCAGGGAAGCGCTTATTCTACTGAGCCATCTCCCCGGCCCCTCGCCCCCATCTTTCTGCCCATCCATGCAGTGACCCTTCCCCGAAGCCAACTGCTTCCCACACTACCACATTCCCCTCTCCCCTCCACCCTATTGAGGGCCTCTTCAAGGGCTCCACTCCTGCTTACCCACCTCCCACCCGAAGAACCTCTTCCAGCCTGCACATCTCTCAGATTCCTTAGCCACTTCTAACCCAATCTCCTTCTCACAAGTGAAAGAACATCTCACACCTGCTCATACTTCTCAAGACCTCTTTGCAGCCCCTTAGGAATCACCTGCCACAGTTTCAGGACCATCCTCCAGGCCCCCACAGGGACCACTTTCTAGTCACCCCATATTCTCAGGCTCCCAGTCCACACAGATGACTATTCTAGGCTGTCACCCTACTGGAGTTCCGAGTGCTAGGAATATGGCTGAACGCGAGTAATTCCTAGCACCCTGCACCTCCCTCTCAGTCGTACCACCTGAATCCCAGTTACCACACACTCTCAGGTCTCTAAACATTCCCAGATCTTCAGGCCCTCCCTCAAGGAACCCTACTTTTTTTTACTGTATCTGGTACGGGGTCTTACTATGTGGCTGAGGCTTGAACTTAGTGGTCCTCCAGTTTTCAGCCTCCCCAAGGGCTGGGATTACAGGCTTGCACCACCACGCCTGCTATCAGTGGCCAGCACAGCTTTCGGTACGGGAATCCAGGCCAGGTCCTTGCAGGCACTTAGACCGCCGAGCTATCTCCCCAGCCTGGAACCCTGCTCTTGGTCACAGGATGCAGCTAAGTCCTCTTTCCCCAAGGGACTCCCTCCCTATTTTCCCCTACTTTCCCAGGTCCCCACACTCCTGGGTGCCCCTCTCCCTGAAGTCCCCATATTTCTAGGTCCCCTTCTCAGGTGCCCACACTCCTTGGTCCCTGCTCCTCAGGTCCCCATACTCCCTGTTCCCCCTCTCCCCGCGGGTCCCTGCACTCCCTGGTCCCCCTCTCCCCTCGGACTCCCTCTCCCCTCGGGTCCCCCTCTCCCCGCGGGTCCCCATACTCCCAGGTCCCCCTCTCCCTTCAGGTCCCCCTCTCCCCTTAGGTCCTCTCTCCCCTGAGGTCCTCGCACTCCCGGGACCCCCTCTCCCCGCGGCCCCCCTCTCCCCGCGCTCCCCCGCCCCTCCAGGCCCCGCCCCCTCTCTAGGCCCCGCCCCGCCCCGCCCCTTGCGCGTCAGGGGAAGTGGGCGGGGCGCGTCGCGCACGCAGTGCGCCGGGCGGAGCGCTCGCCGCATTGTTTGCTTCGCTGGGGAGCGAGCTGGGTCCCGCCGGCGTCCGAGAGCTCCGCGCCCGCGCCCGCGCTGCCTCG